TGTTGGCTAGGCTGGTCTCCAACTCCTGCCCTCAAGTGATCCACCTGCTTGGGTTCCCAAAGTGCTTGGATTACAGATGTGAGCCACCATGCCCAGCCAGTTATCACAGTAGTTTTTAGGAGGAAGAAAACCAAAACTCCCTTTTTCTTGGGAAATCCAGGTTGGTCCTGTGTGTGGCTGTGCCCTGGAAAGGCTGCATGGCCTCTGCCAATCATTTGACTACTCTGGGCCTCGACTTCCTCAGCTGCAGATGAAAGGGTGGAGCTCAGGGACCTCTAATATCCCTTCGGAGTCCAGCATTCTCTGGTCAGATGGTGCATCTAGAACCCCTCTGGACTGAGATCCTGACATTGGCCTCAAAGAGCAGGGAACAGCCGTCCCAGAGCATTAGCGGCAAGCATTAGCTATTTTCTTTCCAGGCTTGCTGCTTTTGCGGCTTTGAAGCATTCAGAACCCACAAATGCTCATCAGAGTGACTGCGCCGCTCAAGCAAGCACTAAAATCCCAGCCGTCAGCACCAAGTCAAGGCTGGCTGCTGCTGCGAGTCAGCTTCCGGCAATAAGCAGCCTGTGGCAGCTGACGGGCTGTCACTCCAGCTGCGCCCACAGCCACAAACACCACCCCAGTTCCCAAGCAATCACAAGGTGTCCATTCTCAGCACCAGGAAGCTTCTAGATAAGGCTGCCGCTGGGTTGGAAGAGCACTTGAAGAAATGGTATGTACTGCCTGAAAAAGCCTCCTGCTCTGAGAGGGAGCATGGACTTCTTTCTGCCAACCCGCCCCAAAAAGAGTTGCAAGATGCAAAAGCAAGGGGGGCTCCTGGCTCCCAGCACACTGGCCACTTGACAAATTGCTGTGCAGTGAATTTGTGTCTTGCAAATCGAGTGGAGGGAAATTGGTTTCTACCTGCCCAATGCTCTTTCTCCCTCTCCTGGATTCCCATCTGGCCCTCGAGCACTTTCTGCTTCTGTATTACTGAGACTGGCTCTGACCTAGCTTTCTCTAATAAATTCATTCACACCAGGTGAGAAGGATCACACAGCTTTGGAACCTTCACTGAATGGTGTGCAAAATCTGCAGGAGGAGGAAATCTAATGGCTAATGGTCATTTTCAGGCATTTGCATGAGGAAATATTTGGTGAACCGCCCCTTCTTCCCTACACACACATACCCTGGCAAGGCTGGCTGTGCTGATAGGCAAAGATTTGGCCAAGTGTGCTCATTGGCTGTTTGGGGTCCAGGGTTGGCCTGACCTCAATAGGAGGTAGGTAACGTTCCCTTTGCTGCCTCTCTCATTTCTCAAGCATCCAAGGCACCTGCTATATTTGCTCTGTCCAAGGCCCCCACATAAAAGAAGCATTAGACCTGTTCCATTCTCATATCGTGACTTTGGGTGACTTTCCTCTGCTAGTTATGGTAAAGCAATATGCCTAATCTGTGAATGGGCTAATGCACTCCTACTCCCAGGTAGAATGCTTGTGTTTGGACAAGAACCTCCTGAAAATGATGCCCTGACACAATGGGAAAGCTGGAATTTCGGGAACGCAGGGTGGGGCTGTGGAGAGATTTGGGGACGTGTGAGTCAGGGACCCCGCACATCACACCTGCAGAAGTCAAGCCCTCTGTCTAGGTGGTAAGGATCTGTTTCATGAGCTGGAGTCTGCAGTGGCTCTGAGGGCTCCCCTGGAAACGAACACGCGAGAACAGAATTAATCAAAACAGGAGGCTGGGTGGAGGAGCAAGAGACGAGGGGAAAATTGCTGGCAGGAAAGGAGGACAGGAGCACAGTAAAAAAGCAGCGGGTGGAGTTTGCTCACTGACTAAAATCATTTCTGTATGGAGCCAAGATCGACTCATCTGTTGGAATTGAAATTTTCCTCCTTCATGTTGTCAGAAGTGTATGTGGCTCTAAATAGCAGTGCCTCCAGCCTGGGTGACATGGCCAGAAAGTTTCAAGACCTTTCAAGGCAAGGATCAGAAGACCAGGAAGTGTGAGAGTGATAAATAAAACTTGAACTTGGCCGCTTTCCATACAGCACAGCGGCAGCTTCACCAGATGCAGCTGCAACTGTAATTGGTTAAATTGTAATTGGTTCTGCTCTTGTGGGCTAATGGTTGGGCGGGGGAAATGTGTTTTGTCTCCTTTCACTTTTTCTAAAGCTTAACTGTGAGGCAGGCTTCTTTGTCCACCTTTGAAATGGTGGGATGGCAAAGGGGCTATTTTGTTTTATTTTTATTTTTGAGACAGGGTCTGGCCCTGTCACCCTGATCTGTGACCCAGGCTGTGATCAGGGTGACAGGGCCAGACCCTGTGTGAGGGCAGTGGTGTGATCACAGCTCATCATAGCCTCAAACTCCTGGGCTCAGGTGATTCTCCCGCCTTAGCCCCCCAAGTAGCTGGGACTACAGGTGCACACCACCACACCTGCCTACTTTTGTGGATTTGGTTTTGTGGTAGAGATGGGGTTTCACCATGTTGCCCAGACTGGTCTCAAAATCCTGGGCTCAAGCAACCAGCTTGCTTCAGCCTCCCAAAGTGTAAGGTCCAGCCCTACAGGGTCCTTGTGAAGTATTGGATCGAGTACAAAATTAGCACCAAGATAAAAGTATGCCAAATTGCAGGGTCTTTATTGCCAGCGACCATGGAGGACTCATGTCTTTCCAACCCGTGGCCCTGAAAGGAGGGTGACAAGACCCTTTTATGCCCGTAAACCACCTCTGGGGTGAGGGTGTGGGGCGGGGGTGGGGGTGAAGGGATTCAGACATTCTGAGGGCCAGGGGATTCCGTAAATCACTTCCCGGGCAGAGAGGAGGGTGAGGGTCTCCAGACATTCCAAGGGCCAGGGAACTTGTTGTCACTTCGATTGTTACCTAATTGGTTTACAGAAGTCAAGATAAGCGTTAGTTTATACATCATCTGGGCAGTGGTGGAATCCACAGATCTTAGTTACTTATTACAAGTTGCAGGGCCAGGATGGATTAGCTTGGGCTGCTTATTCTGGTCATTACTGGTAAGCAAAGGCCAGCAATTCTGGCAGTTACTGATAAGAAAAGGTAAGCAGCTTTACATAGTGAGCATTTTGCAGAACAAGCTAGCAGTTTTATTTACAGAAGCCAAGGCCAGCAATTATTGTGAGAAGAATGGGACAGCCATTACAACTTATTTCTGAAAAACAGCTTTGTCTTGTATAAAATGGCGTTGCTCAGGTTCTAACTCTAGGCCAGCTATAGCACACTTGCCAGCCCTCTCTACTGGCGTGGAGACAAGAAACTATAGAAATAAAAGACACAAGAAACAGAGATAGAGAAAAGAGAGTTTGGGCCCAGGGGTCCACTGCCAACCCAAGCGCATAGTTTGGCAGGGGCCCCAAGTGCCTGGACACTCTGACTTTTGTTGAGTACAAAGCTGGGGGCAGGGTAGGTAGGGCGGGGTACAAGGGGGAGGCAGGGCAAGTAGGGCATGGCATTGGTGGTCAGTGATAGGGTCAAGTACATCACCTGTCATATAGGTAGGGGCCCAAGGCTTTCTAGTAGCCGAGATGAGGTAAGGAGCATAATTCAGTCAGCACTTTTCCATACTTGTCAAGAAAGAACAAAGACATTAAGATTTATATTACTTTGACTGGGCGGGGTGGCTCACGCCTATAATCTCAGCACTTTGGGAGGCTGAGGTGGGCGGATCACGAGGTCAAGAGATCGAGACCAGACTGGCCAACATGGTGAAACCCCGTCTCTACTAAAAATGCAAAAATTAGCCAGGTGTGGTGGCACGCACCTGTGGTCCCAGCTACTCAGGAGGCTGAGGCAGAAGAATTGCTTGAACACAGGAGGCATAGGTTGCAGTGAGCCAAGACTGCGCCACTGCACTCCAGCCTGGCAACAGAGCAAGACTCCGTCTCAAAAAAAAAGATTTATATTATGTACAGAAGTGGAACATGAGGGTGAACATGGAATGTGACCGCTGAAGCACAGCATCACATAGAGACAATTCAGCCCCTAGATGTCTGCAGACCTCCCTGACAGCCATCAGGCCTACTGCAAGAGCTCAGAGGAGTGGAGTTTTCTCCTGTCTCCCCTGAGGAAGGAGACGTTTCGGCCATCTTGGACGTCTCCTTCCCTAACTAGCTAAACAGTGGGCACTTTCCCAGTGCTGGCACTGCTGCACAGCTGAGGCGCCCTCCAGCAGCCCTTACATGGGCGCGTGCGCATGACAGAGGGCTTAAAGCGTCTTGCCTTAGGGTCATTCCTTTCACAGTGTCACCCCAGGTTCACTCTTCAAGACCTAAGCGGCATTAGTAAAAGAATTAGAGTCACCTATGAATAGCTAAGATCTCCTATGAATAACTAATAACTACTACAGTTATATTTCTAGTTACTTTCTTCTTCATTGTTTATATGGAAATAGGCTGTAGGGTCTGCCCCCTACACCAAAGTTACAGGCGTGAGCCACTGCTCTGGGCCAAAGGGGCTATTTTCATACTGATTTTTCTATTGATGAAATCTGACAACTGGGTGGTTGGCGGTATTCATTTCTCATATGACCTTGCTTCAAAGTTTAACATCTTATCAAACGTATGTCTATCCCTACAAGTGTTTAGGATGCACTGATGTTACCGCTTTGCTTTTCCTGGTCACTGCTGTGAAAATTAGCTAGGGGTTGAAGCTATATAATTTTAATTAAGTGGGCTCCCTAAAGCCTGGCCACGACCTGAATTCCAAGGTCACCATGGGTGTTGTGAGAGCTTCCTGCGTAATTCACATCTGGGAGTGGCAGGCTGGTTCTTGCCCTTCCTTTCCTCCTCTGCTCTGCGGTGACCTGAGGCATGAAGGGGAGGCTGGGTGGCCCTACCTTGTGCCCCTTCTAATCCCTAGACACCCTCCACTCCTTCCCTTCAGTGCTGTGCACACCCCAGGGCTGGGAAGGGGCCTGGGCCCCCACTGGGACCTGCAGAACGCACCATTTGCCTAACATGGCCTTTTCGCCTCTCTGCTCTTTACAGAATGGGTTGAATGGCTTGCATCTGGCCTCTAAGGAAGGCCATGTGAAAATGGTGGTTGAACTTCTGCACAAAGAAATCATTCTAGAAACAACAACCAAGGTATGTCTCACAGGGAATGGGGAGCTTTGCATGGAAAATTCAAGTTTGTGAGTCCTTCTTTAGAAACCAGTCCTTCATGAGAGACCCCAAGCTTGCGTCTGAATGTCTCTTATCCTTCCAATTACGTTCTAGTTCTCTGAATCCCTGAAGTCACCTGAAACACACCCTGTGTCCAGAAAGACTCAATGGACCTTTATCCTCATCACTAGGTTACGTGTCAGCCCTTTCCTAGTGGCTTCATGCTTTCTCAGGGTCCTTGACTCTAACTTACTGTTGAAGGCTCTGGAAGTGCCAGGCAGGTGCCTGGAGTCGAATCCCAGCAGACGTACTTCAAACATTGCTACCCAGGACGAGTTACTCCACCACTGTGAGGCCTTAGCTTCTTTGTCTATAAAATGGAGATTATTATACTCAGTGGCAGGGTTGGTATGAAATTGATGGCATACATAAGTGCCTGGATGTATTTATTGGATGGATGTAGTTACTGCTTATTGGATATACATATTGATTATTGGATGTATTGATTGATTATTGATTCCTGTAGCAGGGAATCAATAAATACTAGTGACCATGTTGTTACTGAGGGTTGTAGAAAAGAATCCAGGTCTCTTTCATTTCTCCTTCTCCAGCAAGTCTTCCTTGTTCAGCCACAAACTAATTTCCTCTCCTCACTAATGACCTGGAGGCATTTGGCATGGGGTGACGTCAGGCATCCACAGTGATGTATTTCATTCCACTTCAGTAGATTATAAACACCAGTGACTCAACTTCTGAAATCCCGGAGTCGTGAAATTGATACATCTATAGATTGCAAAATAACTTTTATTTCTTACGTGACATGCAGCTTATTTATCAAAAATGATGCAGGCAGCAATTAAAAATAAAACAAAACAGGCCAGGTGCAGTGGCTCACGCCTGTAATCCCAGCACTTTGGGAGGCCAAGGTGGGTGGATCACTTGAGGTCAGGAGTTTGAGACTAGCCTGGCCAACATGGCGAAACTCTGTCTCTACTAAAACTATAAAATTCAGATGGGTGTGGTGGCCAGCACCTATAATCCCAGCTACTCAGGAGACTGAGGCAGGAGAATTGCTTGAACCCAGGAGGCAGAGGTTGCAGTAAGTCCAGATTGCACCACTGTGCTCCAGCTTGGGTGACAGAGTGAGACTCTATCTTTAATTAATTAATTAATTAATTAAAACAAGGCCAGGTGTGGTGACTCGTGCCTGTAAATCCCAGCACTTTGGGAGGCCAAGGCGGGTAGATCACCTGGGGTCAGGAGTTCAAGACCAGCCTGGCCAACATGGTGAAACCCCATCTCTACTAAAAATACAAAAATTAGCCAGGCATGGTGGTGCAGGTCTGCAATCCCAGCTACTCGGGAGGCTGAGGAAGGAGAATCCCTTGAACCCAGTAGGTAGAAATTACAGTGAGCCGAGATTGCACTACTGCACTCCTGCCTGGGTGACAGAAACAGAATCCCTCTCAAAAATAAATAAATACAATACAATACAATAAAGCGAAACAAAAAATCATCTCCATTTGCTAACTCAAGTATTGTTTCCTCAATTGTTGTTTTCTCTTCTCCTACCTCTTCCGTTCCTTTCCCATGTTTTTCTTCTGGAGTTCTTTCCCCCAGATTCTTATGTTCCATTTGCTGTTTATTACACGTGGTCTCACACACAGCCTCAATTTCAGTTCCATGCAGCAAACAGTTTGCCGCCTTTCAAGCAGAGAACATAGAAGAACAATATGTAGAGAACAGATATAATTTATGGTTATGAAGTGAACTACCAAAATATTATGAAGGTAGAATCATCTTTTGAGGCAAAATTCTGTAATTTTCATGTCATTTCCTGAATGTGAAAAGATCTTACTGCACTTCTGGGTAAAATACACTGAGTTGCTCTTTCTGACTGGATATGGGGGATTTTTTTCCCAAACTCCATGACAGATTCCAATTGTTCCCACCCTATTTCTTGTGTGGACGAAGGGTGCAATTCTTTTCTCTGCACACTCCCACATATCTGGCTGTGAGCTGCACGCCATCTGACCTGGCCGGTGTGTGCTGGAGTGTCTCCTTCCCTGGCGTGCCCCCAAGTGCTGCGGAAAGACGAGGCTTCAGTGCTTTGACTATTTCTGAATTTCCTCCCCAGGTTGTGATTTTGCAAGTGAACACTTGGTGTGTCTTTTTTATTTTTAGAAATTTTCTAAGCCAACATGGCTTTGGAATGCCATCCAGAGAGAGGGGGAAAAAAGGTGGAACTGAAACCGTGGGCTGGGGAAGAGTCACAACAGATTGGGGACTGTGATGGGACTCCCAGGCAGAAGGAAAATGAGAAAAAAGAAAATGAGTAAAAAGCCAAAACCAATTTAGACTCCTAAAATGTATTTAGAAATTTTAAAAGCATAAAACAAATGCATCCTCTCCCCATCCTCCTATTTCCAGCTCTTAGAGACTGGAGCTCAGCACCTAAGCTGTAGAGACAGCTTTCATCTCTACTGGAGGAAAGCTTGCTCTCTCACTCCCAAGTGAGAAAGGGTCCCTCTTCCCCTTCCTCTTGCATTCACTCAACACCCAGGCAGCCATCCTCCCTGCTCTGAGCTCTGTGAGCCCCTGAAAATAGAGAGGTTGGGTGTTTGTGGAGCAAAATATAGCTAAGTAATTTTTCCTGTTCCTTTGAGGCCATGTTCTTTCATGTTGAGGGAGGGGCAGAGAAAATAGAGGCTCACAAATCCCTTTTCCTGTGACTCTCATGACTTGGGCCAGGGGTCATCTTGAGCCTCGTAATGTGTGTAGACAGGGGAAAGGAGGTCCACTTCCAGAATTTTCCCTGTGTTTTTATTCCTCACTTATGCTACCCTTGGCTCACGGGCCCAAACCAAGAACTGTAGCCAGGGTTCCACTGCTGATGAGCTCCCCAAACAGAGGGGCCTTCCCCTCCTCCTGGTGTAAGGAACGGTCTCATATAATTGGATTTCAGGCAGGAAGGGTCGGATGGAAAGAAACATTTGATGTGAGCCTCTTGGTGTCTCTGAGACCTCTGTATTTCCATGCTGGCCCAGGCCTGCCTTCGCTCATGCCCAGAAGTGTGTGGCCAGTGAATGAATGGGCCCGGGATGCCTCCTTCTTTTCTATGGGAGCCCAGAAGATGCCACTTGGATCTCAACATCCTGGTGTGTAGAAAAGTTTTTGGTGCCAGCAGCCCTGCTCCATTGGGTACAGCAGGTGCCAAGCTTCTCAATGGAGGCTCTTTGGACTTCTATGAAAAATTATTAATGAGCTTTCGGACTTTCATATCTGGCATTTATTCTTCAATGGATACTTAAGGAAGAACCTTTTTCTTCATCAAATAGAACTTGAGGAGAAATCAAAAAGACAACTTCAGGAGGCAACAGACGGACCTGCCTGCCTTTGCCCCCCGCCTCGCCTCCCCTCCACCCCACCCAGGCTTTATGGCTTTTTTTTTTAGACAGAGAGACTGGGTTTCACTATGTTTCCCAGGCTGGTCTGGAACTCATGGACTCAAGAAGTCCTCCCACCTTGGCCTCCCAAAGTGCCGGGATTACAAATGTGAGCCACTGAGCTGAGCCCCAAGCTTTATGCTTGAATTACCAGGCAGAGTACAAGAAACAGACCTAAGCTGCTCCCAGCCCCCAGGGCGTCCTCGTGGGGCTGCCACCCCTACCCAGGGAAGCAGGGTCAGCAGCAGCTCGGGAGCCATATGGCTGGGGCCCAGTCTTCTCCCTTCCATCTCAGTGAGGAAGCTTTTTCTCCAGGCGACAGGTGCCGCTGGGCAAGGACAGAGTCTGAAGTCCCTGCTTGTCAGTTCTTAAGTTTCTTGAAATGTGTCAGTGATTATGTAGTTTAGTAAAAAGAACTATATACTGTTTAAACTCTAAAAGTGAGGTCGTTTGAGATATCTGCTCCTTAAGTAGTGCAGGGACAGATGGGTCTGACCATGGTCCCATTTTCTCCACTCGTCCTATTTGACGAGTCAAGCACACATATGTGTCCTTTGTACCCTTTTGGCCATGAAGAAAGCCCCTAGATCCCACAAGCAGCACCTGTCCATAGACCTTTGCTGGCCCTGGAGCAGGCCCAGTGGGAAACCGCATCTGTTTCCTTCCCGCCTGTGTTTCAGAAGGGGAACACGGCCCTGCACATTGCGGCCCTGGCCGGGCAGGATGAGGTGGTCCGGGAGCTGGTCAACTATGGAGCCAATGTCAATGCCCAGTCGCAGGTAATGGGTTTCCGGTCTGGACTAGAGGATGTTGCCTTTCCACACGTGGTTCCTCTTTCCTGCTCCGTCGTGGGTCCATTGGCAGCCGTGTTAACACACGCATGGGGCAGGGCCTAGATTTCTCAGCAGTGTGTCTCGGAGGAACCGTGAAGGCGTCCTTAGACCGCATGTCCTAAGCATGGAGGGGTTGAGTTGTTATGGACCTAAGCCTAATCATATGACCAGTTATGGCTCAGGTGGGGAGAGAAGCTGAGGACTGGGGGAATGAGACACGGGGCGCAGCATTGATGAAATCAATGAGGAGTATGTGAGCTGAAGAGACTGGCCTATGGTGCTGAGGGGAGGTACAGACCCTGAGGCCTTTTGTAATAATCCCAGGACGCCAGTCACCGTGACAATGAGTTTCCTTAGGGGGGGTCAGGTGGGAGGAAATGGGATGAAGAGAGCACACTGTCCTCCAGATAAGAGGACATTGCGTTGGCGTCGGCCTCTCTCACATTGTGGGTGGATGCTGATGATATCCTCTCTTGGTTTACAGAAAGGTTTTACACCTTTGTACATGGCAGCACAAGAGAACCACTTGGAAGTGGTTAAGTTTTTACTGGAAAATGGAGCTAACCAGAATGTAGCCACGGAAGTAAGTACCTTGGAAAAATGTCATCACCACTGGAAGTCTCCCGGGTGTACCACCTTGCTTCAAGTGACACCTTCCCGGGAAGTGGTTGAGGTGCATCCACACCCAGGACAACGAGATGGATGACCGCCAGCTCACTGCACTAATTCTCAGTACTTCGGGTTCTGCAAGGGAGTAATGACAAATTGTGGCTCTTGAGGAAGGCCCAGACATGTTCCAAAGAAATGTCACACTTAAGGGTGTCATTCCCGCTATGGCCAACACTTGTGACTGGAGGGAGCAGGCAAAGTGCGTGTGTGGGGGGCAACTTTGCATTGGGCCATAATGAGAAAGACTGTTGCCACAAAACCACCATCCTCCCTTGGACAAGTCTCCTTAGCTGTGCTCCTGAGTCTTGTCGTTGATGAAATGATGAAATTGGACTAGATAGAGCCAAGGAGTCTTGACTCTTAACTTTGGATGGTTCAATGACATGACTTTGCTATCATTCCGTTTTATCAGTTCACTGGGTCCTGTGCCCCTTCGTATGTCCACAACTGAGGGAATTAGTAATACTAGCTCATGGTCAAGCACAGTGGCTCATGCCTGTAATCCCACTGCTTTGGGAGACCAGGTGGGAGGACCACCTGAGGCCAGGAATTTGAGACCCTGTCTCTAGAGAAAAAGAAAATTAGCTGGGTGTGGTGGTGTGTGCCTTACTCCTATCTACTTGGGAGGCTGAGGTGGGAGGATCACTTGAGCCCAAGAGGCCAAGGCTACAGTAGGCCATGATTGCACCATCGCACTCTAGCCTGACTGACAGGTGAGACTCTGTCTCAAAAATAAAATAATAATAGTAGTAGTAGCCCAAATTGAAATCTCAGGGCCCGATGTGGACTCTGGCCTTTGGTCGGTGCTCATAATGTTCTGCCTTGTCGAGGCACTATCCTGGCACCAGCAGATGGGGTGAGAAGAGGAGCAAGCAAAGAATCTGAGCAGTCAGAAGTTTGTTAAAACAGTCAAACTATAAAGGAAAACTAAATGAATGCTAAAGAAAAATGCGGCAGGCTCTGTGAGCTTGCAGAGAAAGAAAGTGGAGGCAGAAGGGCTTTCAGGGAGGAGGTGGCATTGAGGATGAACTTGGCGATGAAGAGGGCTTTGGTGGAGGGAGGTCCCTCAGGCTGGGGCTGCAACGGGCATGAGCCCGAGGGGCGAGGGTGTGTCCCGTGTGACAGCGTCAGCCAGTCAGAGCAAAGTGTTTTCCTCCTCTGGCCAGGACGGCTTCACGCCTCTGGCGGTGGCCCTGCAGCAGGGCCACGAGAACGTGGTCGCGCACCTCATCAACTATGGCACCAAGGGGAAGGTGCGCCTCCCGGCCCTGCACATCGCGGCCCGCAACGACGATACGCGCACGGCGGCGGTGCTGCTGCAGAACGACCCCAACCCCGATGTGCTTTCCAAGGTGAGGGTGAGGCGGAGGGAGGAGCCCTGGGCCACGGACGCCCACGGGTTCAGGGGGCACCGTGTGCACTTAGCGACTGCCCACCAGGAGCCGCCAGCTGTGCGCACCGGGCCAGCTGTGCGCACGGAGTGCCCCCATCCCAGGACACAGAGGGGCCCCTGCACAGGCCCGCTCTAAATCCCTGGCGGATGCCCAGACACGTGCTCTTGACGAGCAGGGTTGGGGGTGTTTCCTATTGCTCCAGGTCATCTGGCAAAGTGTCCAGGCGGGCAGGGCGGGTTACCCTGGAACCCCGGGGGCGGCCTTCCTGATGTGCCTTCATCTCTCCCCTCCGGCTGCGCCGTGGTGGAGGGAAGAGGCATACAGGGCCGGGGTGTGGAGAAAGGAGGTCTGGGGACCTGCACGGTCGTCTGAGCGCGCTCTCCGGTGTTCAGAGGCACTGCTGGTTTGCTGTCTGTAGGCGGAGGCTGCTGGTTCTCTTTTAGTGGAAATAGATTTGCTGGAGTTATTCACAGTCCCCTCCTGCACACCCCCTCCCCTCTTCCACTCGCCCAAAGCCACCGGGTTTTGTCTGGAAAACAGCTGGGTGGGGTTAGGCATGGCTTGAGGTTCTGGAATAGAATGATGACAATGGACGGAGGCTGAGGCAGGAGGATGGTTTGAGCCCAGGAGTTGGAGACCAGCCTGGACAACATAGTGAGACCCCACCCCTAAAATAAAAAAATTAAAATTAGCTGGGCATGATGGTGCTAGCCTGTAGTCCCAGCTATTGGAGATGCTGAGGTGGGACGATTGCTTGAGCCCAGGAGGTCGAGGCTGCAGTGAGCTATTATCATACCACACTGCACTCCAGCCTGGGTGACACAGTGAGACCCTGTCTTAAAACAAAACAAACAAACAAAGACCATGGCCCCATCATACTTTCATTCATGAATGAAAATCTCTGCTGGTGATCACTCTGACGAACGGACCCACAGAGTCTGAGGTGAGCATATAATTCGGGCCACTCAGAGCAGACACCTAGCTTTTGAATATACCGTTCCACAGAGCCTCTCTTGAACTCCCAGCAAATATTCCCACCCATCAAAATCTCCTTTGTCTGTAAGGTCCTGTCACCCCACCCTTGTTTCCGGCATCCCAGGCCTGATACTGAGATAGAAGTAAATCACATAGGACACCTTTCTCCCCCTCTGTTGTGCCCCAGACGGGATTCACACCCCTACACATCGCGGCCCACTACGAGAACCTCAACGTGGCCCAGTTGCTCCTCAACAGGGGAGCCAGCGTCAATTTCACACCACAGGTAACTCTGGGGCAGGTGTGCCCTCACTGTCTTCACTGGGCCCTGAAGCTGGCAGGTGCTCGTGCCTCTGCCTTGGCGCCATGGATTTCATCCCAGCTGCAAAGTGCCTGTGGGTCAAACAGCCCCGCTGTCTGGTCGGGCTCCTTGCTAGCAGGTTTCTGATCATCCATACACCAGTTTCTTGCTTTGTCTTGAGAAAACCCTGAACTGCGTTTGCCCATCCTAGAAGTGGGAAACCTGGAGGGCAGAGAGTGACTTCTAAATAACTGACGTTCCTGCAGTCTGTTATGTTGACGCTGGGAGGCATGGGCTCTGTTGATGGGGTGGGATGACCCATCCTGTTGGCAGGTCCTTACAGGTTTTGAAATGTCTTAGGCCGGAAGTGCCCTGACAGTGCCGTTGCAGGGCTGGAGGCTGGGGGATGGGGACACAGGGAGTGGGTGCACAGCAGCTGCATTCCAGGGAAGGATGGCGCACCCTGACTGTACTGCTTCCTCCCTTCAGAATGGCATCACGCCACTGCACATCGCCTCCCGCAGGGGCAACGTGATCATGGTGCGGCTGCTGCTGGATCGGGGGGCCCAGATAGAAACCAAGACCAAGGTGGGTGCCGGCAGGCTCTGCCGCTAGGCAACGGGAGAGAGTTCCCCCCTCACGAGTCTCACCCAGAGCAGCGGGCCCTCTGTGACCTAGTTAGGGATGCACCACCACCCTCCCGGAGCCGCCTGCAGCGGTATTCCGGGCAGTGCTGCGTGCAGCGGGAGGCGATAGTGAAACTGTGCTGAGGTCGAGCTGGTGCTTAAGGAAACGTCAGCACTTGCGTGGGCTGGGATGATGCCATAGTCAGTCTTCTCTCCAAACGGCCTCTGATAGCTCCCTTTTGGGCTTTCTGTTTTTGACTCTGTCTTTTAAAGGATGAATTGACACCTCTCCACTGTGCAGCTAGAAATGGACACGTGCGAATCTCAGAGATCCTGCTGGACCACGGGGCACCAATCCAAGCCAAAACCAAGGTGTGTGCTTCCTTCCTGTGAGGAGCATTTTTTAGGCAGGGCTCCAGGTCCAACAGACCTGGCATCAAATCCTATTTCTGTAAAGCAGAGATGCTAATACTACTACATGAGATAGCACCTTTGACATCTATTACAAGGCCTGACACAGGACGCACTCAGTATAGCTCTAATTCCTAACTAGATCAGGGTTGGCAAACTTTTTATCTAAAAGACCAGGTATTAGACAGTTTTAGGCTTTGCAGACCGTAGTCCCTGTTGCAATGATTCAACACTGCCAACATAGTAGAAAAGCAGCCACAGGCAGTATGCAAACTGGGGGCCGTGTTCCAATAAAACTTTATTGACAAACACAGGCGGCAGGGCAGATTAGACCCACAGCTTGTATAGTTTGCCTACTACTACTCTAGATCAATCCCCATGTCTCTTTTCCTAGCTCCAGAAAAGACAGGCAGTAAGTACTCTGAGAAGTCTTCAGAGCCTGGGCCAGACTGGAGTGAAGTTAAAAAGAAAAGGACATAGTTTTTCTCAGGCTCCATTACAGGCCAGAGAAAATGCCTGTTATGTGGTTCTAACATGAGGACCTGAGTCGTCCAGGGGCAAAAGCTGTTGGTGACATAGTGCTGCCTGAGCCTGCTCCAGGACCTTGCCCCATGAATTGAGCTGTGTTCAAGCAAAGCAACGCAGAAGCCGAGTCTATCCAGGAGTTTTCCCCTGAGCAGTTCTGTCATAAAATAACAGCTCGGTCCGTATAGTCAGTGAAAGTTGATTTATTCCTGACACATTGTCACATTCTGTTCTGTAGAGCTGTCGTTAGTTTGGGTCGTGATTCATAGTCCCCACACTGGCTCTCGCGTATGTGTGTGCTGTTGCATAAGTGTGTCCTCTACTAAAGCAGTTTATTTCTCATTTAACCCTCCATCCTTGGCTGATTTGCTGTGTGACTTTGAGCATGTGTCTTGCCCTCTCTGTGTTTCAGTTTCCTCATCTGGAGAACCCCCACCTTCTCTCTCCTAGGATTGTTGGGATAACCATGTGAGACAATGTCTTCAAAAGCATATCTAAAAGTAAACATCCTCAGCTAAGCAAAAATTGAATTGCTACTATCAATTAGATTATTAGGTCAGGAAATTCCCAACGTTTTTCCGGGAGTGCTGTATTTAAACATAATACATGGCCAGAAGTTAAGGTGTTTTTTTTTTTTAATTATCCAGGTCATTAGAATGGGGCTAAAAAGAATGCTTATGAAAATGCTTTGCTGAGAATGTGTGACTTTTGAATTGGGAACTATAGTACGACCATTCTAAAATGAAAGTGTAACTAACTTAGTTCGGTCCGCCCTAACAAAGAACCACACGCTGAGTGGCTTAAACAGCAGAAACTTACTGTAGCACAGTTCCAGAGGCTGGAGGGTCGAGATCAAGGTGTCAGCAGGGTTGGTTTTTTTTTTTTTTTTTTTCGTTTTCTTTTTCTGCGATGGAGTCTTGCTCTGTCACCCAGGCTGGAGTGCCGTGGTATGTCTCCACTCACTGCCACCTTCCCCTCTCAGGTTCAATCAATTCTTATGCCTCAGCCTCCTGAGTAGCTGGGATTGCAGGGCGTGCCACCACACCTGGCTACTTTTTGTATTTTTAGTAGAGACGGGGATTCACCATGTTCTGGAACTCCTGGTCTCAAGTGATCTGCCTGCCTTGGCCTCCCAAAGTGCTGGGATTACAGATGTGAGCTACAGTGCCTGGCCAGGGTTGGTTTCTTCTGAGGCTGTGAGGGAGCATCTTTTCCAGGTCTCTCCTCAAGGTTCTGGTGGTTTGAGCATAATCTTTGGTGTTCTTGGCTTAGAGAAACATCACACTGACCTCTGCCTTCATCTTCATGTGGCATTTCCCCACTGTGTGTGTGTCCAAATCTCCCTGTTTCTAAGGATGCCAGTCATACATTAGCGCTCACACTAATGACCTCATGTTAGCTCATTACATCCGCAAAGGCCCTGTTTCCAAACAAGTGACTTTCTGAGGTCCTGAGGGTTAGGAGTGCAGTATGTGAATTTTGTGGAACCTAATTCAGCCTGTAACACTAACATCAGCCATCATAGAACCTGATTTGAGGCTTCTTTGATGCAAATCCTCTCATTTCCACTTTCTAAAAGCTGAAGCCTCAGGTCCTGAGCTCCTAGCTCCAAGGCACAGCTCCAGCCTCCTCGCCAGCCCAGCTCCATGCTTTCCCACCTTGCCCCACCTATTGAACTGCATGGAGACCCCTGGGTTCCCCTAGGGTAGCTGCCTCTGTGGTGTTGCACACACTGTTCCCTTCACTGGGATGTTCTTCCCCTTTGGTCCTCCTGTTGAACTTTCATTCAGCTCCTTTCAAATTCTAGCTCAGGCCTCACCTCCTCCCTCCCAGCGTCCCTCGTTCATCAGGGACACCATCCATTTGTGCACACCTCTGTGCTTTGATCATCTTTCATCCCGCTTCAGACCACTGAAGACAGCACCATATCTGTCTACAGGCTTCCTTGGGCCAGGGGTTATGTCTGTTCTGTTCTTGTTTCCCCAGAGCCTAACCCATACCAGGTGCACGTTAATCACCTGATAAGTATGTGTTGAATTCATGTCTGAATGAATGAATGAGTCTCCTCTCTTTAATATTTTTTTAAACAAATTGCTGTTTGAGAAACAAGTGTCCTTAACAGAATTTTCCTTAACTGAACAGAATTTGATAGGGGCAAGAAACAGAGGGATTTACATCTAAGTTCTATTTTATCATTCATTCATTCATTCAAAATCACATAATTTAAGGGCCATGATGTGTGTTACATGCATGTACTGGGCACTGTGGGGCATTTAAGAGAAATACTAGGCTCATTCACTGATCTTAAGAGGTGTATAAGTAAAGAGAAAAGATACACTCCCCTGAAAAGTTAACTATGAATATAATTGGGAAAACATAAGAATAAGGTCTGGCGCATGGCACAGGTAAGGAAAGCCCACAGGCATCTAGGGTGGTCAGGGAAGGCTTTCTGGAAGAGGTGGGTCTGCTGGAGATGGCTTTGAAGGTTTGGCCAGGTGGAAAGGAGAATGTCTGTGGTCAGAGGCCAGCAGGAGCGTGGAGGCCAGGGTGAGCCAAGCTCCCTCCAGAGCCTTGTGGAAGCATCGTGTAGGGAAGAAGTAGGGAGTGATATTGGAATCATCCTGAACCTCCATGCTCGGTCCCCAGAAGTCTTTATGATTGTTTATGTTTTCCTCTTTACCCAGAATGGCCTGTCCCCAATTCACATGGCGGCTCAGGGAGACCACCTCGACTGTGTCCGACTCCTGTTGCAATACGATGCAGAGATAGACGACATCACCCTGGACCACCTGACCCCACTCCATGTGGCTGCCCACTGCGGACACCACAGGGTGGCCAAGGTCCTTCTGGATAAAGGGGCCAAACCCAACTCCAGAGCCCTGGTGAGTGGGGGGACTGCTGCAGAAGGTGCAGAGGGGCAGGGCAGGCTGGGGGCAGGACTTGGTGAGTGGGGGGCTGCTGCAGAAGGTGAAGAGGGGCAGAGCAGGCTGGGGGCAGGACCAGAGAGGGATGGTGGGCCTGTGGAAAGGGCAGCAGGTGCCCGGAGATCCCCGGATCCGAGGCTTGAGCAGTAGGGTGTGATAGCACAGGCCGCTGAGGGCCTGGTATGCACCCCTCCTGCTCCCTCCACTCCACACTCAGCTGGGTATCGATCCCTGCCCCTGGTGACCAGGCCAAGGTCAGGGGTGAGTTTGGGCCCAGGAGACTGGACTCAGAAAGCATCATGCGTGAATAGGTATGTGGGCTTGGGGAGCCTCTCCAGTGGAGCCAGGCCCGGAGCTGAGTAATTCCTTAGAGGCTGCATGGCTTTCTGAGCTGCTTTGGGGATGAGTGAGATTATTGGAGCTGAGCATCCTTCATCCACAGAGGGGCTTACAGTTCTCATGGCACTCTTATACAGGGAACTCAGGCCCAGAGCAAATCCCTCCTGCTGTTCCTCTGCCTCCTTCCCAGGCCAGGGTCTCCCAGGGAGGTCCAGGGATCCAGTAAGGCCGCAGCTTTGCACTAAGCATGCCCATGACCACATCTCCCCTCTGCCCCTTCCCAGGGCAGCAGAACTGAGGGACAGGATATCCTCCAGGGATGGCAGAGGATGGCTCATTCATTCATTCATTCACTCACTCGCTCAAAAAAACTTTTACTGAGACATGCCCACAGGCCACATACCATTGTAGGGGAGTTGAGATTTCCCAACCTCAGGGCTATTGACATTTGGGGTCACTATTTGTGGTCCTGTGTGTTGTAGGGTATTTAGCAGCATCCTGGCCTCTGCTCATGAGGCACTCATAGCTCTCCTTCCCTAATTGACAATAAAAAATGTCCCCAGACATTGCCACATGTTTTGGGAGTGAGGTGCAAAGGATACCACCACCACCTCCTCCCATGCTTGAGAATCACTGCCTTAAGTGGGTAAAGCACGGAAAGAACAGATGAAAACAGACACACATTTCTGCCCTTCAGAGTTTACATTCAGAGCACATCACACTTTAGAGCAGAAATCCATTTCACTAAAGATGATCAGTGGTTTCAGGGAAGAGGGAACATGATTTGCTTCACAAAAGTACTCTTTTATTGTAATTTTACCCTTGGGGGCTTTAAACAGCAGGCTTTTTTAGTGCATCCAAAAATATGAATAAATTTTTTAAAAAGTTTATAAACAACATGTTCGGGAGCATACCAAGTGCATCGAGTGAGAGCCACCTGTCTTTTACATGATTTGCATTAATTGACATTACAAGACTAATCAGTTGGCATTCATTCATTGATTGGTCTGTGGGCCTCTGCTGGTGGCCTGGGCAGCAGCTGCCTTTCAGAGCAGCAAGGTGGTCTTCTGGGCATTCGCTGGGCCTATGTGTAAGCTCCTGCCTGTCTATCTCCCTTTGTGTGGGCTGCAGAATGGCTTTACCCCCTTACACATCGCCTGCAAAAAGAACCACGTCCGTGTCATGGAGCTGCTGCTGAAGACCGGAGCCTCGATTGACGCGGTCACCGAGGTAGGAGAGACTGCAGAGGAGCCTGGGGGCAGGACCATGGTCTCCCCAACCCACCTTCTCCCGGAGCCGCTCTTTGTAGCTTTGTGTGACTGTAGGGGTGTGTGTGTATGCAAGTCTGGACTGCTCCAAGGAATGAATCAGGGGTGACTAAGACATGAGTCAAGTCTCATGGAGCTTTCCAAGATCAGACACAATTTTTGCAAGTTGTAAGAGTGGGCACGAGTTACCCCACAGTAATTTTTTCTCCAACCATTTTCTTGGAAGAAAACCCACCTCATTTAGCTCCCTTTTCTTGGAAAACCATTTGTGAAAGCGTTAGATGCCGTTAGGTTCTTTCTTCTTCGGGGAAGCGGGAAGACTCCACTTATCTCACTCCGCCCTTGTCTGTTCCAGTCCGGCTTGACGCCTCTCCACGTGGCCTCCTTCATGGGGCACCTTCCCATCGTGAAGAACCTCCTGCAGCGGGGGGCATCACCCAACGTCTCCAACGTGGTAAGCCCTCTGGCAGGCAGGAGCTTGCTCCTCTAGACCAAAGGCCCAGAGGGCAGCTTTCACTAGTGCTCCCAGGCCTCCTCTCTGGGAACAGAGCTACAATTCCCAGAATAGCCAACGTTCAGACTGGGGGCGGACATCCCTGTGTACTGACACTTTCCTGATTAAATTTCTCACACATCCATAAACCTTGGAGGTTTTCTTTTGGACAATAATTTTGGAGCATCTATAAGTGTTCACTGAGAATACATTTACATTTTTGAATATTCATTAGCTCTGGGGTTTACTTTTAAGTATACCTAGAATACACAGACACATGTTTGCACTCACGTACATGCATGCACTTGCACACATGTGCACACACATGTACATACATGCATGCGTGTGCACACATGCATACACACCAGGCTAAAGAGCTGCATGCTGGTGCAACTCCACCTCTTGGACAAAAACCCACCCAGCCACTCCAGGCTGCACTTCCTAGCTCTGTGAGTTTCGTTTTGGATAGCAGGCATGTATGAACAGTTCTATAATTTTGTTATTTTATAGAAAGTGGAGACCCCGCTACATATGGCAGCCAGAGCCGGGCACACGGAAGTGGCCAAATATTTACTCCAGAACAAAGCCAAAGTCAATGCCAAGGCCAAGGTGAGTGGTGAGGGCAGGAAGGGAAGGGTTTCAGATGTGAGCAGTTCCAGCACTGTGCAGAGAGCCCGTCCTCATTCCAGGAGGGGCCGCAGTGCCGTGGCCTGGGGATCACTTCTCACTCCTGATCAGGTTGCTCTGAGCGCTCGGATTCTGCTTTGCAGGTGGTTTGAGAAGACCAGGGATATTTTAGTGTGAGAGCCACATTTCTTTAAAATAAGGAAAGTCCAAGTCTTGTGGCTGGCCCGAGTATGTCCTGGGCTAATGATGACAGTCGCCATATAAGGAGGGGCAGCCTTTTGAAGAAAGCATTGCCAGTGAAAATCAGGCAGGAGTGACTTGATCTAAAATTGGAGGGATCCCCTTGTTGTAAACACATTTTGCGGGGGTTGGGGGAGGAGGCAGTGAGAAGAGCTGCAGAGTTTGCCAGTTGCTGGCTTGGCCATCAGCAGGCTTCCTAACCACGGGGCACACGAGGGCACTCCTTAGAATCAAGCCTGTGATTTCTGGGGCCCTCGAGGGACGCCTCCAGCTGGGCTCCATGAGACCTGGCTCAGGCAGATGGACAGCAGCCTTCAGAAACAGGAAGTGGGGGTGGGGGGAGCATGGGTGGAAAAGTCCCCATTCCTTGTCAGCAGTTGAGACTCCCCTGACCTTAGCACAGAGAAAATCAAAGTGGAGTTCAAGTAGAAAGAAGCGCATCCACTCAGAAAGGACGTGGGAGACTGATGAGCAACCACATGCATTGAGCACCTTTTATGACCAAATGCAGAAACCATGTTCATTATCCACTTGATGCCAGTGAGCCCTAGCAAGTAGACATTAATTGTTCCCATTTTACAGATGGGAGGACTGGGCCTTTGGGAAGTTAGGTAGAAATAGCAGCTAACTTGAAGAGCTGTTGTAAAGATTCAAGAGGATACAGCACATTGGTTCCTGTAACTCAGAGACTTGATTCAAATCCTGACTCTTCATCTTCTTAGCTGTGTGACCTTGAGAAGGTCACTTGCCCTCTCTGGGCCCCGTCTTGCTTTTCTGTCAGATGGAAAGTTGGATTTGGTAACATCAGCCTTTCTTCTTCTTTTTTTTCCCTTTGGGGTCCAGGATGACCAGACCCCACTTCACTGTGCAGCTCGCATTGGCCACACAAACATGGTGAAGCTCCTTCTGGAAAACAACGCCAACCCCAACCTGGCCACCACCGCTGGGCACACCCCCCTGCACATCGCAGCTCGAGAGGGCCACGTGGAAACGGTCCTGGCCCTTCTGGAAAAGGAAGCATCCCAGGCCTGCATGACCAAGGTATAGCCTTTCTCCTCTCAGTCTGGGGAAGCAACAGGCTCACTCACAGCCAGGCCTGGGGCTCAGAGGGGAATTCCCGTCTGGCTCTCTCTGTCACCTCAATGATGCTACAAGCAGCTGGGAGGGTCATCACACGCAAGGCTGGCCGCCATCTGCAAGCCCGATGTGTCTCCGTCCTTCCCCAGAACGGGCGATCAACCATAGCTTCTCATGCACGCAGCCAGCCTTCATCCATTTATCATGGCACAATTATAAGTCCAAACCTGCTTTGGGCAAGTCACAGACAGGTTCTGGAGAAATAAGGATTAAGACTGCTACCCTGCCCTCCGCTAGCCAGCAATCGACTACCACTGCAAGGTGGTCAAGACCTTCTCGCCACAGGAGTGTGGCCAGTGAGTGCAGGGCTGCCTGCGGACTCCTGAGGGCTTTGGCCTCCCCAAGGGCTCAAAAATGGCTATGCCTTTGCTTTTATTGGCTCCTCCAAGCCAGCGGAGGTGGCAGCCTCCTTTGCCGTGGGCCCTTCTCCAGGGACGACAGCCCTGGGGCCCCCAGGTCCTGACAGCCTGTGTTTCTCCTCAGAAAGGATTTACCCCTCTGCACGTGGCGGCCAAGTACGGGAAGGTGCGGGTGGCAGAGCTGCTGCTGGAGCGGGACGCGCACCCCAATGCTGCGGGAAAAGTGAGTGTGCACCCCTGCAGCTCTCCGGTTAGAGGCCAGGACAGAGGATGTACCTCATCACTTGCAGATTCCATCTCTTGCATATGTTGTTCTTTTTTTTTTTTTTTTTTTTTTGAGACAAGGTCTGGCTCTGTTACCCAGGCTGGAGTGCGGTGGTGCCATCACGGCTCACTACAATTTCAACTCCTGGGCTCAAGCTATCCTCTGGAGTCAGCCTCCTGAGTAGCTGGGACTACAGGCAGGCGCTACCATGCCCGGCTAATTAAAAAAGTAATTTACAGAGACAGGGTCTCACTCTGTTGCCCAGGCTGGTCTCAAACTCTGGGCTCAAGTGATCTTTCCTCTTCAGCCTCCCATAGCTCTGGGATTACAGGTGTGAGCCACTGCACCTGGCCCATTCATATTTCCATGGGTAGCCATCAAGGGAGAATAGCCTTTGGAAAGACTGGCCTTTCTGCCAATGCCTTATCCTTTTGGAAAGACCCGATGGCCTTCTCTGGGCTGGTGTGTTGATCTCACTGTCCACATCCCCTCTGGTTCCCACAGGGTGCTGGGTCTTGCTGGTGACATTCTGTCGTGACTCTTGTTAAGACTGGCCTGGGAAGGATTTTAAGCAGGATTTTACCTGTATAAAATAGGTGCTCCCATGCCTAAAGGAAGCCCTGGTAGAAAGTCTGTGGGAGTGACAGCTGCCCTCTTTTCTCTTTGTCCCCTGCAGAATGGCCTGACCCCCTTGCACGTGGCTGTCCATCACAACAACCTAGACATCGTCAAGCTGCTGCTTCCCCGGGGCGGCTCCCCACACAGCCCCGCCTGGGTAAGGCTGGCCCCTCCCCCCAGCTGCCCCTGGAGAGCAGTCCACCCGCCACCTGCCACCTGCCACCTGCCAGTCCTTCAGGGAGTGAGGGTTCCACAGCAGCCCAAGGGTTTTGCGTTCTGTTGTTATTTTTGCCTCGGAAACCATGCCTCACTTTCACACATGTTACCTGCCCTGTAATCGTGCTATTCAGAGCCCAGAAGTGGGATGGGAAGTGGGTAACAATTCCTAGCCAGGGGTGACCTTGCAGAAGCCGAACATACTTTATACAACAAACGTGTCCCCAAGCAGTTGCATGTTAGCTGGGTTTTGTAAACTGACTGCCAGAGGTTAGCATGGATAAAAATCCCTGGGGAGTGGTGAGCCTGGTTCTAGCAGATTCTGACTCTGTGGGACTGTGCGGTGTGGCCTGGAAGCCTCATTTTTAACCTACTCTCTGCGTGATTCCGCGGCTGGGGCCACAGCCACCGCACTTTGAGAAATCCTCCTGGCTGCCAGCGAACTTGCTGGAACCCGGAAGCAAGTCACCTCTTTAAAATGAGAATGATCACCTCCAAATTCATTTCTCTCTGGATTAGACTTCTAGATGGTGGCTTTTTTATAGGGAGGCTCACCTGAATGTGAGTCGGCCCAGCCTCACACCAGTCGGCCCAGCCTCACACCAGCTTCAGAGGCAAGTGGCTCAGAGCTGCAGTTTCCCTAACCCTTGAGGGAACCAGAGGAGGGAGCAGATGGGTTGCTTCTGGGAGATCTCACAGAGTTGGGTAGTGCAAGGATAAAGCTGGAAGGGCCGTTTTGGGGAACAGACTGCCCCCTGTGGGAAGGCGAGGCTGTGTAGGGATGGGCATGATGGGACTGGTGGCGAGTGGGGAGAAGGGGAGAAGAGAGGGAGCGGGGCCAGGAACACAAAAGCCACACGCAGTCCCTGCACTCTGTGGGGCAGCCAGACGCACGGGAAACAGGATAATTTATGGGAAAGCAAACCCTGGCGCTCCAAGTGCCGCAGAGAAGGAGCCTCGGGGCGGGGCCCCAGGCGGGGCCCCAGCCCCCCAGCCCCCACGTGATCCATCCGACATCTGCGGGCTTGGGGCCGGTGCAGCCCAAGCAGGAGCATCAGTGGCGGCTTGGAGCTTCCGTGCATTCTCCCTCCTGGACACGCTCCGCGTGTCCCCATCTTGCAGCGTCGCTCTCCTGCAGATGCGGCTCCCGACAGCCCCGTCTCCTCCTGTCCCCGCTGCTGCTGCAGCGAGCCCCACGTCGCTGTGCAGAGGGAGCACGCGGCCCTGCTGGAATGTCGACTTACTCCTTCCTCTAAAAATAAGAACCTGGACTCCCCCTCCTCTTCACTCTCCTACTTATATAAAAGGAACAGGAGCCAGGTTGAGGATATTTAAAGAGAGCTAAATCCAAGCACAAACCCTGTACAGATGGGCTTTGTTTCCATGGCGAAAAATAGTTTCCAAAGTAGTCTGGCAATTTTGTAGAATTTCACATGCAAATCTCTCTGCACCCAAACCAAACCCTCCCCTTTCCAATTTTGATGCTAATGTTGTTTGAACATTTGGGCAGAGCTCCCTCCGCATGCATTCCTTAGGATGAGCTCATTTTCTTGGGAAAGAAGAGCCTTTTGCGGGCACACATTCTTCCCTCCTCTCTCTGTGAATTTCCAGCCTAGTTGTCCTTGTCATTGTCACTTGCAGAAGCTCATTTGTTCCTTTTAGTCCTTGTTTAGGGGAAGCTCGGAGCGACAGTCCGTGTTCTGAGAGTGACAGTGGCACTCATATCTCAGACTAGGGAGCCTGAGCCATGTCCAGAGCAGGCCTGCCCTTGGGCAGGACAGGGGTCTGGCCTTGTCAGTGTGGACATCACCGTTGCCCAGGTGGCCTGGGATTCCTGAGGATACATCCCTGAATATACTGCGTGGTTGCTTGAGTGATGGTCCTTTGCACGTTAAAAGATGGCAAATAGGGCCAGGTGTGGTGGCTCAAGCGTGTAATCCCAGCACTTTGGGAGGCTGAGGTGGTCAGGGGTTTAAGACCATCCTGGGCAACACGATGAAACCCCATCTCTACTAAAAATATGAAAATTAGCTGGGTGTGGTGGCACACACCTGTAACCCCAGCTACTTGGGAGGCTGAGGCAGGAGAATCACTTGAACCCAGGAGGCAGAGGTTTATGGTGAGCCAGGATTGCACCTCTGCACTCCAGCCTGGGCAACAGATTGAGACTCCAACTCAAAAAAAAAAAAAAAAAAAAAAAATGGCCAAATAAGCATTGCTTCATGTAGTTATTAATGGAAAAACCAGACTCCATAAAATATTTTTGAGGTTTACTCTGAGCCAGAGTGAGTGACCATGGCCCTGGGCACCACAGTCTCAAGAGGTCCTGAGAAAGTGTGTTGGGGGCAAGTTACAGTTTGTCTGTATACATTTAGGGAGGCAGGAGTTACAGGCAAAGACATAAATCAATACATGGAAGGTATATATTGATTTGACCCCAGAAGACAAAAATGCCTAGAAACAGGGCCCAGAGGTAACAGGCTGATTCAGAGATTCTTTAATTTGCGGTTGGTTAAAGGAGTAAAGCTTTGTCTAAAAGATGGGAATCAGCAGAAAAGAAAGTTATAAGTTGAGTGAAGGGTCTGTTCACCAGTGCCCTGGGCCGAGTGACCTCCAGGGGGCGTGTGACTCAGCCCTTGCCTATCCTGGCCTTGGGTCCAGTTGATAATGTTTGTCTGGTCACAGAGTCCCTTTGGCTAGTCTTATGATCTCTATTTTAATATGAATGCCAGCCAGTTGCGCCTAAACTCCAAAAGGGAATGGGTATAGCGAAGTATGTCCAACCTCCCTTTCTTCATGGCTGGGAATTCAGTTTTTAAGGTTTTTCTGGGATCCCTTTGGCCCAATTGGGGTCTGTTTGGAGGCTTAGGGTTTTATTTTTTGTTTACTTAGTGAAAACGTCCTCTGGGCCGGTGCTGGCTGGTGCTCTGTGTCTCACACTGGGAAGGCTTAGCTCCATTCGGAGCCGGCCCCGCCTCTCAGGATGAATCTGCAGCATGGCACCCCGTTCCTTTGCTCTCTTTGATACAGTGCAAAAATCATGCTGTTTAATTAAACTTATTATAATTCAAAGTCAGAGCTTGTTACATGAGCACAACCTACAAAGAACAATTTAATGTTTTCACCTAACACAATCAAATTAAAAAGTAAGACTACTAGAAAGGATTATGGCATGTCATTCTTCAAAGAGAATGATTTTCCATTTAATTCAATTCCTTGGTAAGTCACAACTTTGCATTTCACTGCAAAAGCCGCCTGCAGGCCCACCTTGCTGACGGCCCTGGGACTTTGACTGCCTTGGCCAGCCCCATTCTTTCCCTTTCCTCTTCCTGACCAGTGATCCTGGCAGAATCGGAAATGTTGGTTTCCACAGTAAGAGAGTGGCTGGCAGGGAGAACTCAGTCCTCAGCCAGAGGAATGAGGCCGAGGTGGGGAAATCTCTCGCCCTGAGACAGATCCCACGTTGGGCAGCCATCTGCTGTGGGCCTGGGTGGGCACATGTCCAGGATGTCCTCCAGCCTGGCATTGCCCTTAACCCTGAGTGCCCTAGGGCCTCGATACTCAAAGTGTGGTCCCTGGACCAGCATTATTAGCATCACCTGGGGGCTTGTTAGAACAGCACAATCTTCAACCCTCCCTAGTGCCTCTAAATCAGACCCTGCTTTTTTTTTTTTTTTTTGAGATAGAATTTTATGATTGTTGCCCAGGCTGGAGTGCAATGGTGTGATCTCTGTTTACTGCAGCCTCCACCTCCTGGGTTCAAAAGATTCTTCCTCAGCATCCCAAGTACCTGGGATCACAGCCATGTGCCACCACACCGGCTAATTTTGTATTTCTTTAGTAGAGACAGGGTTTCTCCATGCTGGTCAGGCTGGTCTCACACTCCCAACCTCAAGTGATCCTCCTGCCTCGGCCTCCCAATGTGCTGGGATTATAGGCGTGAGCCACCACACCTGGCCCAGACTCTGCATTTTTAACAAGGTCCCAAGGGATTTGTGTACACATCAGAGTTTGAGAACCACTGTTCTATTTAGAATTACCTGGGGCTGTGCAATCAGAAGGTCAGGGTTGGGGTATCTGTTGTTCTGCCTACTATGTGACATTAGATAAGGTGCTTAACCTCGCAGAGAATTGGCTCCCTTCTCCATACGATGGGATAATAATAAAAATGCCGGCCCTAGTGGCCTTATGTGGTTTCAATGAAGCTCAAAAAAGGTAACGCAGGTGAAAGTGGTTTTCAGCAGTGATGAGAAAAGGAGCCCATCTGGGGACCATCTCCTGCCTGCAGGGAGGTAAGGAGTATGCTCCAGAATGTAAACCCATGCACTGCTTCCTTCATTGAGACAGTCTTGCTATTAATAATAATAATGAAAACCAAAAAATGGCTGAATAAACAGTGCACAGTGACATCTTTGCTTTACTTTTGAGGCAAGCTCCTTCATCTCGTTGTGCAATTATAATGTCTTGCAAACCAGTGCACTGCAAAGCCATGACACACAGGTGTGCTACTTTTTAAATTTTTCTTGTTTAGAGAGGGTCTTACTCCCCTGTAGGCCACAGTGCTGTGGTGTGATCAGAGCTTGCTGCAGCCTCCAACTCATTAGCTTAAGCCATCCCCCCACCTCAGGCTCCTGAGTAGCTAAGACTACAGGCATGCACCACCATGCCCAGTTAATTTTTTAATTTTTTTGTAGAGATAGGGTCTAGCTATGTTGCCCAGGCTGGTCTCAAACTCCTAGCCTCAAGTGATCCTCACTCCTCGGCCTCCCAAAGTGCTGGGATTACAGGCATGAGCCACTGTGCCCTGCCAACTTTTTATATCTTAATTTTGGAACACACCTTCATATACGGTATCATGTTTGATCCACCTAACGACTTCAAGAAATGAACAAGATAGATGTTATTCACTTTTAACGATTTAAAAGGTACAGAAGGAAGTCTAGGTTGTGGAATATCTTGCCCCGGGTCACACAGCTAGTTAAGAGTGGAGCGAGGACTGTCCCACGCCTTCAAGTCCCTTGCCCGTGCATGTTCCATGAACCACCCTGCCTAATGCCAGCAAGGCCCAGAGGGCAGCACTTGGCCTGATTGCACCAGGAAAGAAAAGGGACTGCTGTTTCTTTATTAAATATTTGGGGTTTTCGGCTCTTATCGCAGGAAGGAAGAAATGAGAACCTTTCATTTCCTTACTCACCCAGGCTTCCAGTTGTTCTGTTCCTGCCCAGCAGTTTGTCAGAGCATAACAGAAAACATATGGTGAAAAAGGTGGACCTAATAGTGGCTATGCAAGCCTGAGGAGCTGTCTCCAAGTCAAATGGATTTTGTCTGTTTGTTCACCTAAATTGCTTCTGGGTTCCGTGGGTGTCCAGCCGTGTTCCGTGGGTGTCCAGCTGGCCAAGAACCAGACTCAGCCCCCGTGTGTGTGTTGATATTGTCAGCTCAGCATTCCTGTAACCAGGCTCTGGGTGGCTTCTTCTGTTTCAGAATGGCTACACCCCTTTGCACATCGCTGCCAAGCAGAACCAGGTGGAGGTGGCCCGCAGTCTGCTACAGTATGGGGGCTCAGCAAATGCCGAGTCGGTGCAGGGCGTGACGCCCCTTCACTTGGCCGCCCAGGAAGGTCACGCAGAGATGGTGGCTCTGCTGCTCTCCAAACAAGCCAATGGCAACCTAGGGAACAAGGTAGGCATGGCATCTTCGGATCTGTCCTGGAGTGCGGGCTAGCGACGTGTGGTGTTTGCATATTGAGCCTCTACTGTGTGCCCAGGTTCTGAGTTAGGGGTGTGTGTGGGTGTGGGTGTGTGTGTGTGTGTGTGTGTGTGATCTTTGCAAAAGCACTGTGTACGTTTCACCTTCATTTTCTAAATGAATAAACAGAGTCAGAAAGGTTGCTTACTCCCAAGGTGTCAGGATTCTGAGCCTCTCTGATGCCAAAGCCTTTGCTGATATTTCTAAACAGATTGACATAAGGATCTGCAGAAAGATAATACTAAACTCTGTAGTACACTTCCCCAAACACCGGCCAGCGCCTCCCTCCAGGAGCGCATTCTGTCATTTGGGACTAAATATTCTATGTTCGGTGGGAGAAAGATATTTTTAAAAACAATGACCTATACACTAGGAGTTTCACTCCAGTGACAATAGGTGTGTGAGTACAAAGCCTTCTAAAATTGCACACACATCTGGGAGGAAGGGCACGTGAGCAGTTTTCTGGGTGAAGCATTCAGTGTTTCTCAGCTTCTCAAAGGAATGCATGACCCAAAAAAAGACTGAAGCTCACTTCTTTTTTAAATAACAGTTTTATTGAAATTCACCTAGAAGTCACTCTTTTGAACTCTACACTTCAATGATTTTTAGTATTTTTGCAGAATTCAGCAGCCATCACTACGACCTAATTCTAGAACACTTTCATCACCCAAAAGGAAACCCCATACCTGTTAGCACTCATTTCGCATTTCCCCCAGAGCTCCCGGTCCCCACAAGCGAGACTCTTTCAGTCTCTAGGAATCGACCTGCTCTGGACACTTCATGTGCGTGGAACCCTGCAGTGTGAAGAACCACTCCTTTACATGATAGAGTCACATAGCATACATTCAGAAGGGCAAGTGCAGGGCAACTGAAGATTTCTTAAAAACTTATAGATTTTGTACAAATGCTGGCACATTTTGTAAAAACTTGAACAGTTAACCCCCAACAAAGGAACCGTTCTGTTAGGATCGTTATATTCATTATACTTCATGGCATCCTGGGTTTCTTCACTGTCCCACTTAAAGTGAGCTCTGTAAAGAGACAGTAAGGTCACTGTCTGGAAATATACTCTCTCATCTGCACCCCCCATCATGAGGCAGATTGTTGGTGTTAGCTCAAGAATTAGGCAGGGTGCCCGCCTGAGAGGCTGACACAGTCACTCCTCAACTAACGGCTGTTCTCGCTTGAGACTCCCGCCTGCCTGCATGAGACCACCGGCTCTGGCCGCAGCGGAGTATGGTGGGGCATCATTACTGCTCACAAGCCTCTGGTCAGCCTGCAGGGTGTGCAGAAGGCACAGGAGGGCAAGTGGCATCCTGTAGAGGGGACACAGTCTGTGCCTGCAGAGGAATCCAGTTCTGTTGGCCCATGTTAGCAAAGGGTATTGAGGCAAAGTCCAGGGTAGAGAAGACTTTTGTGACATTTTTGTGTGGGTGCCCACATATCAAACAACATCTCTAATGCCTTACTTACTGCCTTCCTGAGGAAGCTGTGATGCCACATGCAAGAATATGGTTCGTTCACTCCTGTCGGGAGGCTCTGCCCTCTTGACCATCCCAGTACTGACTGTGCAGTAATAACATTATGCTACATTGATTGATTGATTGTATTTATTAATTTTTCGAGATAGAGTCTTGCTCTGCCACCCAGGCTAGAGTGCAGTGGCACTATCTCAGCTCACTGCAACCTCTGCTTCCCAGGTTCAAGTGATTCTTCTGCCTCAGCCTCCCAAGTAGCTGGGATTATAGGCATGAGCCACCATGCCCAGCTAATTTTTGTATTTTTAGTAGAGACGGAGTTTCACCATGTTGGCCAGACTAATTTGCCTGCCTCAGCCTCCCAAAGGTGATCTGCCTGCCTCAGCCTCCCAAAGTGCTAGGATGATGGGCGTGAGCCTCTGCCCCTAGCCAGTGTGGGGGCTCAGCAAATGCCGAGTCAGTGCAGGGCGTGACACCCCTTCACCTGGCTGCCCAGCCCTTGTACTACATTTAACGGCACTGTGTGCCTCTCAAAGTGTTTCGCCTATGCTTTCTCAAGGGCTTCCCATCTTGCCCCTGAGATGGAGCCATGACAACCCCTATTGTCTAGATTAGGAAACCAAGGCTATAGGGCTCTGGAGTTCACCGTGGAAATGGGAAGATACCATAAAGCACCAACAATGGGAAAGTGCCATAAAGTTCATCTAGATTAGAAGTCAGCAAACTGTGGGCCGGTGGGTTAAATCTGGCCCACTACTTGTTTGTGTAAATAAAGTTTTATTGGAACACAGCCATGCCCATTCGTTTAAATGTTAGTCATACAAAAACATGGTCAAAAATATTGATGATCTGGCCCTTAACAGAAAAAAGTTGCCAACTCCTGATCCAGTGTAGCCACCTTACTTTTTAGATAAGGACATTGGGGCCCAGAACAAGAAGAGCTTTGCCTGGAGCCAAACAGCTAGCTGGTGACTGCAGAGTCTGCTTCAGCTCCCAAACCTCAAAGCTCTTTTCTTGTGGCCTGGAATTCTTTACTTGCTAATGTAATGAACGTTTTTTTTTTTTTGCAGAGTGGACTCACTCCCCTCCATCTGGTAGCACAAGAAGGCCACGTTCCAGTGGCAGACGTGCTGATCAAACACGGCGTGACGGTGGACGCCACCACCCGGGTAAGGCAGGGAGCCGGAACTGCAGTCTGTGGGCTCCTTGCTCACACTTCAGAACTGAATCTTCAATGGAGCTTTGAAACCCCAAGGACCCAGTGGGACATTCTTCTCTGCCCTTCCTAGGGCTGGCAGTGGAGTCTGAAAACACTACTCCTAATTATCTGACTTTTCCATTGGGGATTTTTTAAAGTTTGCTAGACCTTTGAGCCTCTGCAGTGAGAAAGTGGGACGAATGTTTAATCATGACTCTGAGACCTGTCTAACACGAGTAGTCAGCATGTCAATATGTCAACTTCCCCAGATCCTCACAAAAGCTTAGCCCCTTTTCTTCCAGCACTTGGTTAAATTCAGTTCAACTTTCTTTGAACCTCTGCTGTGAGCCAGGAGCTATGTGAGTGGAATCTGCCCTCCAGGCGTCTGCAGTTTGGCGTGGAGGTGATTGCTAGGATGGGAAGGAAGAGAGTAAGTCAGTATTTACTCTAAGAGAGGAACTGGGAGCACAGAGGCCAGAGAGCGTGTTTTCGGTTGGTGGGAAGAGGCAGCTTCAGGGAAGAAGCCACATTTTGCTCCTTTTCCCCACAAGTCGACCGTATTAAAAGGAAGGGACAGTGACAATGACAGCACCAGCAGCCCCAGCCCCTCCAGAGTAGCACAGAAATGCCGGCAACAATAGTGTTTTGTCTCCAACTGCCTGCAGCTTCCACAGGAATCTGCTTAAAACCCAAGAATCTTCTGGATCTTTGAGGCTTCACTTGTGGGTCATTTAGTTTTTGGGGGTCCTGCACAGAGAGACCCTGTCCTGTGAGTTAGAATGGCCTCAAGGATCCCAAAGCCATCCCATTACGGGAAGGACCTGTGCTTGGGTGGTCTCTGGAATCTGGCACCAGCTTCCTGGGACATTTGGGACCAGAGGGCATTGGCCTGCCGGCCCCTGGGAGGCAGTACCACAGGGTTCAGCAGCACAGGCTCCTATAATATCCGAGACTCCCGTGAGCAAATGTCCCAAGCCCGTGCATTTCAAGCAATGACCAGATCCCGGAAATTCCATCACACCACAACTAAGTCACTTGGACAGCCTTTTGGGGGTTTTTCAATGGGATTTCAGTTTTCTAATGGAAATAAGCCTGCTGTCATTGGAGTGACCATGACCCCTCAGCCCCATCTGCCCTCGTCTCAGTGCCCTTCTCAGGCCTGAGGGCTTCTTTCTTCCTTCTTGAAATAGCCACCCCCCGGGATTTTATGACGCTACTCTCTCCTGGTTTCCCTCCTCCCTCTTTTCTGCCTCTGCCTCTAAGTATTGCCTCACTCCTTTGGCCCCACTTTTTGCCCTCCACTTTGTCTGGGGGACTTCACTCACCTCCGAGGCTCTCAGATCTCCCATGCACTGAGGACCCCAGCACAGCCCTCTTCTCACGGTTCAGTGTCCATTTCCCAGTTGCCCACCTGACATCTCCCCTTCCACAAGTGTCTCAGCCCAGTGGTTTCTCCTCAGCAGCAGCCATCCAGCTTGTCGGCCTCCCGAGGGGCTCCCTGTCCATTCTCTCTGAATCAGCTGCTTTGGGAAGGATTTCATGTGATGCCCCACTCAGGAGAGCTCCAGTCAGCCCTTCTCATCTGCCTTTCAGATGGGCTACACTCCCCTCCACGTGGCCAGTCATTACGGAAACATCAAGCTGGTGAAGTTTCTGCTGCAGCACCAGGCAGATGTCAATGCCAAGACCAAGGTACAGGGATGCCTCAACCCGACTCCTGTGCTGACCCTGCTCTATGCCATATGAGGGTGCAGCCAGAGCTGCTCTGCGGGCACCAAGGGCTCTGCCACAGTTTTGACTGTGGACCCTGAAGGAGGAACGGGGGAAAATGCATTCTATTAATGTCCCACTTAGAAGATGGACAGGCACTGTTGTGTGTGGGCAGATCTCTGTCTGTCGGCTGGCTAACCCTGCCAAAATGTCTGCTCGCTCTGCAGCTAGGATACAGCCCCCTGCACCAGGCAGCCCAGCAGGGACACACAGACATCGTGACTCTGCTTCTGAAAAATGGTGCTTCCCCAAATGAGGTCAGCTCGGTGAGTACACTCTCTCCCCTGAGTTTAGAAAACTCCCCATGGCAGCAGCCCTGGGTAACCTTCCCTAACGGTAGATGTTAATACATGTCTGGGGCCTGGCCAGGACCGCAGCACCCTAAAGCCACAGCTAC